CCAATTTTCATTCTTCTAAGTAGTTAAGGGAGTGGTAAAAGTTTCTCATGAGCCCCCAGGGCCTTCTTGATTGACCTCAGCTCGAAAGAACCCACATGGAAACTGGGAGGCCTGCTCTGGACATCTAGGGTAACCCAGCGGAACATGTTGGGCAGGCCTAACAATCAGCACTAACACTAACCCGAGCCATTCTACATCCCAGATGTTTAACACATGAGAATTTAATTCCATACCAATTTCAAAGGTTATCTTTTATTCCAGAAAAACAGGGAAAGGAAAAACATCTCAAAATCTTATTACACAAATAAGTGTTCGTGATTAAAATATGAGTGATGCATGGATCTGGCTAGAAAACTCAACCGATATAGAAAAGTGTAAATTAAAATTTCAGACCTTCCTCCTCACACAGAGCTCTCCATCCTTGCCCCCCCAAGTTAACTTTTAGCCATTTTCTTGGATCTCCTCTCCCCAGTTCTGTAAGGCACACCCTGAGGCATAGGAAAAGCCTCAAGGGAATAAGGAAGGCTCCAGGGATAAGGGCAACAAATTCCAAAGGGGACGAATCAAACACCCCAGGACTAGGGGCAACAGGACATTTCTGGACAAGGACAATAAAGACAAAGGACTCTAAGATAAGGGCTGGGATATGGAGACTTAGTTCTGGGCACACAGACTTTAGGCAGTGAGTGAGACCACCGAGAACTAACCCATCACAGAGACTGATGGGGCTTTATAATATTTAGGGAAGGAAGGTACATGGTCACTAAGGCAGGACTCCTCTTTGGTTCCTTGCCCCAACTTGGCCTGATTCCACGGCCTAGGAGTCCCACTTTATTCTGTTCCTTTTCTCCTCAATAAATGTTTTTCTTTCTCTAAACAAATAAGTCTCTTGCCTGAGCATCAGCAAAGTTCCTGCTGCAGCTTCATGAGACACCAAACCGTTGTGGTCTAGTGGCTGGGACACAGCGCTGCCCCTGCAGCCTGGCATCTGTTCCTGGCTGGGAGACTAGGCCTGAAAACCTGACATGGTATTTTTTTTTTAAGATTTTATATATTTATGCATACAAGAGCTGGGGTGTAGGCCAGAGGTGTGGGGGTTGAGAGGATTCACCACAGACAGAGTGGGGAGCAGAACAGGCAGACTGACTGAAACACACTGCTGAGGGGCGCAGCGGGTGAGACAGGAGAGGTCTGCTGCGCCATGTGGGTAGCTCCCTGGCTGGCCCGGGATTGAACTCATGCTGCAGAGGCTGCAGATTGCTTCATAGTGCGGTGCTTAACCCCTTGTGCCATTACAGTACTGATGGAGGACAAGAATAGGAAAAAAACCTGAAAAGGAGGTGCTCCACAAGACCAGAAACCTGGTTCACACAAGGAGGTGGGGGCAGAAGAGATTAGCATAACCATTGACACAGCTATGGAAAACAAGATCCTTAGGCGCCAGTGCCCAGATGACAAAGCATAACATCCAAGCAGGTATCAGAGCTTGCATCCAAAGGTAAAGATATGGAGATTGAGCCCATTGTGGAATCTCTGGAATGTTCAGATTCTACATAGTTATCCCAAATCAGCAACTAACAGGAAGGCTCACAGGGAGTGAGCCCCTCCCAAACAGAAGACTAGATCAGTGCAGTCTGCACAGACTCAGGGCAGCAGCACCCCTACCCACCTGGGACTATGTAGGTGACTCTTTTCACCAACTCTCTCCCTCTGCAGGGCAGCAACTTTCTGCCCCTTTCAGAGCAGCAAACTTGCCCCTTTCAGAGCAGCTCCTTCTGCACGCTTGTATCTATACAAGTGACCTTCATTCTTCTGTCTCCTTTCCGTAATAAACCTGTTCTTTAAATATAACTACTGTCTCTGTCTCATGGAGAAACTCGCCTGGGAGACTCACTGTGTGTCACTGAAACAGGAGCTCTGGTGAAAACTTTCCCAGAGTGAACCCAAGGACCCCACACTCCAAACCCACAGACTCCAAAACTGACAACAGTATCAACCCTGGGATGTATATCTCACTACATAAAATGATTTTACTTATTTTCACAAAAGGAACTCTGGTGTACACATTGGTCTAACATCTTGCTTTTATTCACTTAATATTTTTAGACATCTTTGTATATCAGTACATATGTCTCTGTCTATTTTTAAAGTCTGTATGGTACACCACACTACAGATGTACAGCAATTTATTTAACTGCTCCCCATTGTAGTACTTAGATTGTTTCCAGTTTTTTTCTTATTAGGCAGGCATTATTCGCTTCATTTGACAAGGAGCAAAACGAAGGGTCAAAAAGAATAAATAAGTCAATTGCTTGATATTTCTCTGTTTAAAAATAAAAAGCACCAGAGCTAGCACTTAAATCCAAATGCATATGATTTTTACGTCCTGGCTTTTTCCTTTATCCTGGATGTTCTAGCAATTGGCCAAAGGCACCAAATCTGCCAACCAGGTACTAAGCCTTCCTGTTGTTCTGCTGACACTTTCCCATAAGAATCTTTTTCTGGGGCCTCCCTAGTGGCACAAGGGGTTAAGCACAGCATTATGAAGCTATCCGCAGCCTCTGCAGCACTAGTTTGATCCCGGGTCAGCCAGGGAGATGACCCACATGGGGCAGCAGATCTCTCCTGTCTTGCCCGCTGCTCCCTTCAGCAGTGTATTACCGTCAGTCTGCCTGTTCTGCTCCCCGCTCTGTCTCTGGTGAATACTACCCCCTACCTCTGGCCTACACCCCAGCTCTTGTATGGATAAACACATAAATCTTTTTAAAAAATAAATTAAAAAAAGAATCCTTTTCTCCCAGTGGAGTCCATAGTAAGTGACTCGGAGGTTAAGTGGCTTGTGCAAAGCTGTGCTGGTAAAAGAGTTATCAAGAAGTTACTTGGGGGAAGATTCTCCTTCTTTCTTTGTACTAAATTAAATTTGACCCTCTCTGGAGAAATGTAACGTTTGCTGTTCAGCCAGCAGTGAAGAAGAGCTGAGAGGTGGGGCAAGCATTTCCTCTGCACCTGCACGCCAGGTGAGTAGAGTTCCCACAGCAGCTAATGAGGCAACTGTGCTTAGAGGAGCAGGAGGAGCTCACCCAGGGTGAGGAAAATGCAGGGGGCCCCAAGTGTTTGGTGATGTTTACAGGATGGGAGGTGCCAAACTCACTAATTATGTGCTAGAAAGAGGCGATTGGCTTTCTAACCAGCCAGGGGGAAAATGGTCTCAAAAGGGCACAAGCAAGTTAGCCCAGCCCCCAATACAGGATAATTTCACACTTTCCCGCAGGGGGTTAATGAGTCTGTTTGTAGCTGTCCGGGAGAACAGCCCTAGTCTTCCTGCCAGCCTTTAACGCCCATCAATACGCCTCCCATTGCTATGCAAAGCTATTGAGCCTCTTGAATAATTCCCAGCAAGGTAAAGCCTGCCTCCCGACCCCTTTGTGAGGTATTGTGCTGAGGCCTGTCCCAGCAAGGGCAGCATATTTCACCTTCTTGTAAACAGCTACCACTTTGGAAGGCTTGTGTGCCCATCACTCACCGCAATGTCACCGGAGGGCCGGCTGCTCAGAGAGTTGCCCTAACATTCACTGGCCTTCCTGTGCACCCAGCCCTGGTGGGGGCCCAGCCCCTCCCTGCAAACCATTAACAGGCTGGTCACAGTGTGGGTCCTTGTACCCCAAAGAAGTCAAAGAAACTGGGTACCAGCTCAAGGGGTGAGCATTACTCAAAAGTATTATCATCTTCCCAGTCAGGACTGGAACATTCCAACTCCAGAGATCAAAGCGTGGGATGACATTTTAATATAGGTGGACTAAAATTGAGTAAATTCAGGCCTCAGGTGACTCATGCATGAAGCGAAGGCCAGATATTTGCTCTGGGCTCTAGAAACACATCTGACAACCCAGTGGCATCTAATTTGCAATCACCCTGGAACAGCGGCTTCCGAAGCCCTCTGCCGAGCCCCCCTAACAATAATAATCTTGCACGGTGATTTACAGGTTTACAGTATTTTCACATATGTCCTTTCATTTGATACTGCAACAAATGGTTTGTAAACCTGCTAACTTGTGTTTATTTATTTCAGACTACTTCACGTTGGGAAACACAGCTAGCTCTGGATTGGCTCAAGCAGATAATCAGAGACATTCATGGGCCTTCTAATGTCTGCTCCCCTGCTCCCCAGCCCTCTGGGATGTCCCCTGGGCTGGGCCTCTAAGAAGGAAAGTGCTTAGCTCTGCTCCCTGCCTGGGATTAGCTTCCCAGTAAGTACCACAAAGAAGTGAGAAGATATTTTGCTTCAAACAGAGTTTTGTCCCCAAAGAGCTACAAATCCTGGTTTTATACAACCTGAGGCCCACCGGGGGTCTGACTAACACTCAAAAGCTGTTCTCCTTGAGAGAATCTACATTTGCCAAAAGGCCAAACATGTAGACAGGAGACTAACCGAGTGTGCCAAGGAGGATGAGTGAAATGAGGGAACTGAGAACCTGGGAGAACTAACACATTACTTGAGTAAAAAAGCTGAGAGTTTTAAAGACATGTGGTCCCTGATGTCAGATCTTTATGACTTACCCACTGGGGCTTTGTCTGTTTATATGTACAGTTTACTCATTGTCTTGCCATGTCTATGTGGTTTATGTCTAAGGGACTTAACGCCTATGTATTTATATGGTTGGCAAATCTCCCTTTGGTGTGTCTGTTTTTATTCTTCAACTTAAAATACTTCTAAAAACTTTGCTATTTTAAGTTCTACACTGAAATCAGTGACTAAATGAAAGCATCTTTCACTTTGTCTCTGCTTTATGCCAGGGTTAACCCATTGCATGCTCTAAAATTGGACTTGAGAAATATGGTGCATAAAGTAGGGGTTGGGGGGCAGGGAAATAATATTCAATGCCTAGTCAGACACTTATTTCCAAAACAACACAGCTGCTTTGCAGAAGTCCCCATGTGACTTCAGTAATCCAAACTGCAGATAAGAAAATGATACTGTGAATTGCTAAGGAAAGTCTTACCTGTAAGGTAAAGGAAAGATGATCTCTCAAGCGATGAAAGTCAGCTAACAGCTCCATCTGTAAATTCAGCTCCCAAGAGGATGCTGATAAGCAGCCATTACCCTCTGTCTTGGACCTGGTACAGTTTTAGCTAAAGGGATGATCTGCAGAAAGAGAAATAAAAACATTGACATGAATAAGAGGATAATCTGAGTTCACACCTGTCTATTCCAGCACCCAAAGTATTCTAAAAATGGAAAAAAGAAAGAACTCCACAATGAGTTGGTAACTTTGCCATTTAACCCAGAATCTAGATGGCCATCTTTACCTTATTACTAGTTCTTCCAACAATCTGATGTGATTTGAGGTAGGAGAAGCTTGTTCTGGTTTGTCTCTCATAACACAACCGCATTGCACATTTTAAGGGAAAATTTCAGGCTTTCGTACCCACTGAATCATGACTTTCCCCGATTTATTTCTCTGTTTACTCTGTTTTTACAACCCCACCATATTGTCTAAGGTTGGAGTGTGGATTATTCAGATTGCTCCAGATCCTATCCTTTCTTGTGTAGAAATCACCCCTTGCGCTAATACCATGTAAGCAGACAGCACCCAAGAATGAACACTGCACAACCACTTAAAACAACATCACGAGGGAGCAATGAATCTTGTCTGCACAGAACAACCAAGGTGTCCCTGTGGTCTGGCCCTCGGTCTTTTACTGCCTCTGTCTCTTGGGGTATTCAGGAAATCGCTGTGTTGAGAACGCATTCCTGGACAACAGAACTTGCATTGTTTCACGGCTTTCCAAACTGGTTTTGGGTGTTGCTAAGGAATCTTCACCCTATGCCTGCAGCTGCACCCGTCTCCTGACAATCACTTCCACATGCCCTATTTCAGAGCTGGGAGGAAAAGTCCTTGCGCGTGGTTTGGCCACACACATTGAAGAGGACCCTCTCTCACGCTAAAGTGGCATTAAAAAATGTTTTATGGTGTTTACTTAAAAGCTAGCTTTTCACAAAGGTCTTCAGTCTAGACAAACCCTAATGTTCTTATTGAAATAAGGGTATCTTACAGCAAAAGAACTCGACAGCTTGTTCCAGAGAAACAGGGAGAGAATCCTGCCCTTAACAGATCAACCTACAGTTGCAGGGTGCTTTGCAGGAGAGTTATTGTCCAAAGTGTGTTGGGGTACAGGGTGAAATCCCCCACATCTCTGGGCTTCTATCGGGATCAATGAGTAATCTAAATAGCATGAGATGGGTTAGCAAAAGAAAAATATCAATTTAATAACAGCAGCATGGAGATTTAACATGGTTAGGAATTCTAAAGAATAATGGAGTGGACCAGGGATACATTTACCCTGTGTTTAGGGACCTGGGGATCAGGGAGAGGGGTATGGGAGAGGCTTCACACTACAGACAAGAAGGGGGTAACCTCTTTACTCTGAGAGTAAACTGAAGATTCTTTGCTACAGAGGACATGTTCAGAGACTAATCTATACCTTATAGGTCTTAAAAGGGAGAGCAGTGATTGCTACTTCAATTAAGAAAAGGGCAAAATCTAAGGAAGTGACTATCTCCTTTTTGATGAGGGGGGAGCCGTGGACTCAGGCAAGGACAAAAGTTTCTCTTCTCCTCCAGGGCTATCACAGCTTCCAACTCAAAACAATCTCCATTCCTTAGGTAATGGTAATAGACTTCACTGGTCTCCATTACTTAGTTCATAGCAAGGTGATACTTTCAGTAAGATGTCTCCCTGGGCATAATAAGAAGAGCCTTTGGGAGAGACTGACCCCACAAAGCCCTCTGAAACTATAGAGGAAATTGGCTTGAAGCTAAAGGAGAGGTTCAGCATAGGAACTACAGCGGCTGACTTTCGCAGGAATAACTGCTAATGTCCCTGGAGAGCTAAAAATGTTGCTGCACAGCAGGCTTCAAAACACATTTGCAGGAACCAAGTACCTGGTACTAAGTAGCACATTAGTCGGAATAGCTCAGCCTCGACTCTGCTACTCTTAGTGGCTCCTTCCAAAGAAAATATGAGATCCTGAGTTCTTCACTCCTTCCAGACAGTCTGGGTTACTGGCAACAATGGAGATGTACAATAGAAAGGCCTACCAAGCTGCTGGGTCTCTTTCCTGACTTGTCAGGAAGGTGAACTTCTGAACCAGATACATTTTGTTTCTCCCCCTATCTTAATGGACATCCTTAGGTGATGTCTAAATAAGTGGATGTTAGAAATTAGTCCAGATAGGTACGGCCTGATAATAGAAAAATGAACATGAAGCCATCATGTGCCTGCTGTTGAGAGCCCCACTGCAGGCACTTCAACTCACCTCCCCCCACATTTTGGGGCATGCACGGTGCATACACAACTGAGAAGAAATGAAGCTGCACCGGCAAACTAGGCCAAGAGTTGAAATGTGATCAATCACAGCCTGACAAACTTCCCACCAATCAGAACTGCATTGGCTACAACCCTCATTTGCATAAAGTGGGTCTAGCTCCACCCCTTTTATCTATATACGCTTGGCTCCCCTTAGAACAACTTGGGCATTCAGTACAAGTGCTCCTAGAGTCTTTATCCCATGAAGTGTAGGTCTGAAGACCCAAAATAAACATCTGCTGTACTACTAGAGCTGTACTCTTGGTTAGATGACAACCCTTTATTAAGCAAACATAGTTTATGAAAATACATGTGAATGTGACAAGTGGCATGCATTCATTTGCAAATGAATCTTGACTGTTTTACCACAACACTAATAACCAAACGTCTGAAATGCAAGATTTTTGATTATACCTGAATTTTGATTAATCAAACTTTCCCCAAATTTACCAAATTTATTTAGTGTCCTAAGCTAGACCTACCTATTTAGATAAATGTTTTACTCTTATGCATGCAGAGAAGCAAACACATGGAGTACAGAATAATATTCATTTTTTAAGAGTTACTATCACATTCATGTAACCAGATCCTTACTTTGTACAGGGCATCGTGGAGAGCACTGTACAGGAGGAGCTCCTAGTCACCTGAGCAGGTACAATGATGGAAGATAATACTAAAGATAAGTTCAAGTGATCTGGCCCCAGAAAAGGAAAGCAATCAGTGATCGTTTGATTTACATCAAAGTCACTATACCGCAGTATCTCTCAAACACTTGTTAACTTTTTCATCAATATTTGCTATGGTTTTTGGTCAGACTTTAGCCATATCAAACCTCTATAACTGTGTGTAAACCCAGGGAAAAGTAAAAGGGAGGCATGACTGCCTGGTAAGCTATGAGGTAATGGTATGAGTAGAACAGGTTAGACTAGCAAAAATTCAATGGAAGCATGAGGCAATTTGTGGAGCAGTTTTCGAAAGAATGGGAACTTTTAATTTAAGATATTCCTGCATAGGACTACCTGACTTCCTCCTTGTTGACAAGGCAGTTTGTTTGTTGTATCCTATCAACTAAAATTGGACTTATTGTGCCTTATAGCTTTTCTTGTGGTATTATTTTCTTAGGACTCTCCCTGCCCCACAACAATACTAAGGACAACTTAATTTCTATCTCCTCTCCCCCCATTATTAAGTCATAACCCTGAACAAGAAAATTTAGTGAATATAGGTCTATGACTAGGGAGATACTCAAACCCCCTAGAGCTTCTCATCTTTCACTTTCCAGATTGACCTGCATTTCTATTGAAGGGAGAAGAAAATGAAACAAAGAAAATGATTGATCATCTTCCTAAGTCATGTCCATTCAGAGAAACCTCTCACACCATAATGTCAAATATCATTTGGTCTGACATACATAATTGTAGTAAGGAACCATGATTCCTAATGAGACTTGAATTTCTTCCCAAAGAATCAGTAACTAAAGCACATTTTTGTCTTGATGAATTAATTAATAAAAATCGAAGCTTCTTATGCAAAATATATACTGAGAGTCCCCAAGGGTGTTGATGTCCCAACCACTCAGAATAAAAAAGCTGAAATATAAAATGATACAGTAATGAGTGCTGGGATTCAAACTGATGCAAACAATTTCACAGACCTTCTCTTAAAGAATAAGAAATGTGTGCAACGCTGTAAGGAAGGCAAATAGAGCACAACAAGGCCACTGCCAAGGAGGACTTTCCATCCACATTGAAGAAGAGTTTTCAGCCTCTCTGTTATATTCTTTAGACTACAAAAGGCATCTGCCAACATCTCTGTCTGGTTAATGTTGGTTGACTTCTTTGAAGATTGCAATTACAAAAGGATATTTTTGGACAGTCAAATATACATAGACACATGTGTTTAACTGGAAAATGCCTGCTCTGAATATACTCTTATATGATTGCAAAAGAGTTATACATGCAAATCCCTAAGAAGAAAAAATTACATCCTAAAATATTTATCAGCCACTGTTATTCTGGAACAAAATTAGACCCTGTTTGTCCCAAAGTGATGTGCAAAGTAAAGGGTTGGATCTTGAGAGAACAAGGCCTATGCAAGTAAAAACCCAGCAGCCATTAGGCAGTCAGTATCAATGGGCACAGCCTTAGACCCTAAAGATGGTTTCTACTGTGTTCACTGCCAGAATACCAGGAAGCTCCCCAGTTGGCACCTGAACCACAAAGACTGTTTACACAAATATCTCCCCACATTCAGATTCTCACTTTCTGACACAGAAGGCATCTTTGCAGTCTTTGGAGAAGACAGACATCTTGGTTTTGTCAGAGGTACCATAAGGCGCAAACTCTGAGCTTTTGAATGATGTCCTGAATGAACTTCATACCTTGACGTTTTTACAGATTCCTCCCATTTCTACACTGAAGAGATCTCAGGTGCTAAGGATTACAACTCCCAGCATGCTGTGAGTCTGACTTCCTGGGAGAGAGAGTGGGTCACTGGGAAACTATGGGTAGTGTGAAGCAGCCATGTTGGCTTATAACTAAAGATATATGGGCTCTTAGTCTCCTGCTTTTCCATGTTTGACTTGCACCCTGGTACTGCTGGAAGGAGATACAGAGGAGACAAGTGAAGGAGAGGCATGTAGAGACACTTGGAAGAAACACATGATGAGAAATGTGTGGGGAGGATGATCAGGTCCTTGGCAAAAACAATAGAAGCTGTTAACC